TTTTTTTGAATGTCGAACTAGTGAACGGATTTCTGAAATATGTTTTGATTTCTGATCTTTAAGATGTTGAGTTTGTGCTTCTAGAGATTGAGTTCGTTTAACAAGTGTTTGATTTTTTTGAATGAGCTTTTTATTATTTTTTTCTAGTTGTGAATTTGAGGTTTGTAATGAATAATAATCAGATTTATGTTTGTAATAACTCTGAGTAAAATAGTTATACATTTTATGTTGCAAGTATGAAGAGATTATATTTTCTTCATTTGGACCTTTCAGATATCTCATTAGGGAGATAAGATTATTAGCAGGTGGTATGTCTTTATCAGATAATTTCTGAATTGTTAAAATTAACTGAATTTTTTGTAGACTTTTATTGGTTGATGCTATTTCACTAACTGATGCTATTTCGTTGGTTGTTGCTACTTCGTTAATTGTTGCTGCTTCGTTGGTTGTTGCTGCTTCGTTGGTTGTTGCTGCTTCGTTGGTTGATGTTACTTCGTTGGTTGATGTTACTTATAATAGTTGCCTTTTTTGTTTTTTGTTTAGGCGGGCATTTTTTAATTAAGATCAACGCTTATATGATTAGTAAATCTTCATTTTCTTTTTTTTTTTTGGTGCAATAATTATAACAACACTTATTTAGATGCAGGGCTTTTACCACTGAAAATTAGAAGTCCAAATTTGGAATAGATCAATTAAAGGTCTCTACAATGCGAGTTACAGAGTCAGATTTGATATTTATTTAAAAAAAAAATTACCGGCAATATAAATCTCATCCAGATTATTCAAACGACAGATACAGGTTAAGTAAATTTAAAAAAAAAAAAATTTTTTTCCGTATTTAATATGAAAAATGATTCTGTAACTTTGTTAATGGAATGAGAAAGAGTCAATTGACGTTGAAACTTTCTACTAAAAAAGAAAATTGCAATCTGCGCATCTAAAAAAAGGTATGCCAATTTTATATATTTAAATATAAGTACATTACTGATTAATAATTTTGATCAAAAAAAATTCGATAAGCTTAAATTATAAGTGACCACATATAGTTTTGATTTACATAGTTGACAGCCCACCCCAATGAGCAGGGGTGAACGTCCATTGTTACACAAATCATGGCATGATCAACATCATGCATATCGGCATCGATTATCACGTATTAGATAGTATTAGATAATAATTTAGTCATTATTTAGCGAATAATTTAGTTATTATTTTAGAAAATATATATATTTATTGTATAACTTTTATTACAATTGTTGGAATATAATTTTTACATATTTTAATAAATCTCCTATTTCGACTTCATTGTCTATTATTTTGTCTATATCATCTGAACAACTCGCGTCTACGCTTTTATCTTCTTCATCAATTGATTCACTTTCAACTAATTTGCCATTTATACTTACCATTAGTACATCAATATTTTTCTTAACTTCATCTTGAAGATAACCTAAACATATAAGACATTTAAAATATGATTTTTGTAAGCAATAATTATGATAGCCATGCCTACAAGCCAAAACACAACCATTAGATAAATTGTAAATCTTGTTGCAATACATCGAATCACATAAAATAGATGTATTGGGTTTTTTAGAAGTGACAAAACCTCTCGGAAGGTGACGATCTGTCACTTCGTAATTTAACGATGGTAACTGGTATATATTGATATCATCTTTCGAGGATTTAATAATAGGCTGCTTGTTATGATTCCGGTACATCTTGGTGAATATTTCTAAAAGCCGTATAGAACACTTCTGAGAAAGCATGTCCAACTGTTGTGGCGTGTACGGATATTTTGTAGAATATACAAAATTTTTCTGAAAGAAATTGTCATGCCGTTGCTGGAAAATACATTGTGCCTCTTTTCGCAATTGCTGAGCTATAAAATACTTAGCCGTATGTCTTTGAATAATGCTATGCGCAATTTCAACAGGATGATCACTGAGGGAAGCTAGATAGTTAGTAATAATATTAAACATTGGATGACCAGTTTCTATCCAATAAAAGACATCCGAGAAGAACATTAAGGGAGTGCGTTTGTAATTTTTCCGATAAAATCAGAGAAAAAGATTGCTCCAACAATGCATGCATGCTTCCTTATAAGCAGGCCAATCTCCCTCATAATGATGCATGGTATAAACGTCTAGAGCCAGAGGAACTAAATTGCTTAGAAGATCAGTTAGATACAAAAATTCGATATTTTTACATGTATTACCAAACTTAGAATAAATCGCATCGATAATATTAGACCACGCCATACGTACGATGTGAAGAATTAAATTAATTCTTCACGCCCGTGGCGTCTTACCAGGATTTTTATTTTTTCCAAATATGCCCCTGTAAATATCAATAAATAGAAAGGAATTCTTTATATAAACCAAGTTCACGGGCATTCAAAGACACATGAAGAGGTCCCATAATTGGCAAAAATGACATAACGAACTCTGGAATGCTTTCGTTATTGCGCAGAAGTCATTGCGCAATAGTTTTACGAATGAAAAACTGGCCTGGCCAGTCCGCAATGATAGGAACCGTATAATTAGAAAGATATTGTTGCATAGGTTTCTTATCATATAATGTTTGAATAGCATCTATATATCCTCCAATATTTTTTAAACCTTTTTGAACGAAGTTGATAAGGATAGAATAACGTATATGTCGATCGTTACTTGCCTTTGCGAACCTGTCATCATAACTGTGTATTATTAGCCTATTTATTAGTTCTTCATCAGTACATACCTTCCTTGTACTCTCCATACGGTCATTATATGAAATGCCAAGATTTATGATAAATCGACTATCAAGATGTTTCACAATCAAGTCACTATCCAAGAACTTTGAATTAAGTGCACCATTATATGGTATTGCTGGAGTTAGGCATGGATTCACCAAAATAGTCACCATATGTGTTGGTCTAGAAGTCGCAGTAGTGTCAGAGTAATGTAGAACATAGATATTATGATAGTTGTCAACGTTTAACACAAGTGCATTCCTCATATGCTGAAAAAGTGCATTCTCCGCGTATTCTTCATGAGTATCAGACATTCTTTTCTTTCGCTGAGTTACTGCTCTTGATGTTGTAGATACACCGATATTTGCCATTGTGTTCACACCTTCATTTGTCATTCCTACCGAATCTAGATAATTTGCAATATCTAACTTAAAGGTATTAATTTTCGTGTTGTTCAATGAAGCAAGCAAATAACAAATAAGAACCATTAATTTTTTCATATGATTTATAGTTTGCTCATTACGTTCACACGACCAAGCTGCTGAATAAAGCTAATCAAAGAAATCTTTTAAGCTTGGTTCACTTTCTTGAAGAAATTTTCGCATTTCATCAAATGCATAGATCGGGCATTCTTTTTTTACATGCTCTCTATTATAAAATATTTTTGCCATCACCTTAATAGCACCAGTGAGATCTATCATGTTTACTTTTTTCTCACTCGTGGCTTTCATACTTTCACCCGAGACAGCTTCTATATCTTCATCCGCTATAATTTCTGCTTTCCTAGATTTCTCATTTGTGATTCTTACTCGTTTAGTACTTTTT